TAATGATATACCACTTTCTTCCTAAACAAAATCATAAGTAAATTTTATTGCTTTTTTTCTCTATTTAAATTTCTTCGTACTTGTAATTGAGCTAAAGTACGTAAGAGATTATTCTCTTTAAGATATTGTTGTATAAGACGAATAACACTAAAAACAAATATATATTTCAAATATTAAATATGTCATCTTAACAGCAAATTGATAACCATAAGAAGTCGATCTCGTTTCACGGACAGCACGAATATATAATTTTGGATGATGCAATGATAGTAGCGTGCCATTTATCGGTTACATAGGCTTACTGCGCATTATTCATTTGTTAGATAGTCAGAACCTATGATTTTATATGCATCGTAAGTAAAAATATTCAATTGATCTATGCTATAAATGACTTCAGTTTAATATTTGAGAGTTACAGTCAGAATTATTAGCATGGATTACAGTCAAACCTTTCATAATGGACATCTCTGTATAGTTGGTACCGTTATACAAGTCTATGGTGGATACTTTTAAGAAGTTCTAGTGGTATCCACGACACGGAAGTTTTACTATATTTTAACAACTGTTAATTTGTCCAGAAGAAAAAAAGCATAAAAAGAGAAGTAACTAAGAGTAGTAACTAATTACTTTATTCACGAATAGGCTTCAGATACCTAGAAAATATGGCCCTTTCTCGTAAAAAACTTTACTTTTAGAGAATGCCTAACTTACTTATAGTGTACACCTCTCTACAGTGGGCAATTTTGAAAAGTTCGAAAAATGTTCACTATAGAGAAGTTACATTGCATACGTTTTCAATATTTATTCGATGATAATATATTAAAATATGATTGTTAGAATCTGTTATGTTAAGTTTAAATATAAATTTGAATTTATGTCCGTAAAACAAGTTCGACTTACTGAAGTCATCAATTTTATGTTCATATCTTTTCTAAATTTTATTTGAAAACTTACTCAGTTGATTCAATTTCGAGTGACATTATTTACTTCTTAAAAAAATCTATCTAAAACAACAAAAGTAAGAATTAAAACTAATGACCATCTAATAAACTCTCATTTTCATTGTTTTTCTTTTCTAAACGATTTTCCATTAATTTAACAACTTCATTTAAGTCTAATTGATAAATATGTAAACCTTTTGTTGTTGCAATAATTATTTCATCAAGACCATCGCTTGTAAAATCAAATGCTAATATACCATATGCTGATGCTGCTAATGATAAAACTCGACAAACAGGAAATGTTTCACCAATAAATGATAAACCATCAACTGTATTTAATTTATAATTATCTATTGGTACTCGACAAATAAAACATGCTTTGCCAAATGTACCTAATAAAATTTCATTTTTTCCATCAAGATCAATATCACATACGCAACTTGATGTAATACAATCTTGCGAATCAGTTCCAGAAAGTACAACTGGGTCAGTTAAACCATTTATCGAAACATTTCTATTAATAAAAAAAAATGTTTTTCGAAAAAAATAAAATTTTCCAAAGATTTTTTTTCACCGATAAATAACGGCTGGTTCGAGAGCACTAGTAACAAGTAAATGAGGTTGTTCGTCTAGAAAATAAAAGGTATTATTTTAAGTTTTCATTGCAATCTTTCATTTAATATTTACTTTCATGTGGCTTATGATTATGATAGAAAAATTTAACAGTACTAATAAAACTATCATATTCAAGTATTTTCTGTGTTGTTTGTATAGTTCCATCTGCTTGTACATCTGTTATATATAAATCAAGTAAACCATTTGAATGACCACAAGCAATTAATCGTTGTTTTAATTGATCGGTTTTTGGATCAGATATTAACAATAGATCCATTGCACATAAACTGAGGAAAATAAAAATTAATTGAAATTTCTTTTGTGTTTCAAATAATATCATAGAAATTCTATTACTTGCCACTAGTATGTTTTAATTCGGGAAGATAAAGATCAATGATTTTTGTTATATCTTGAAGTAATCGTTCATTTTTCTAGATAACAAAAATATATGTTCAAATTTCCAAAGCATAAAAATATAATATTATTCAAATTAAATAATCGTACATTAATGAAATAAAATTCTTTATTAGAGGCATACCCGAGTAAATTTAACTCCAGTGCTTGGGACTACAAGAAAACAGTTTTTCCAACCAAAACTGTAGATGATACTTCAATATTCTACGGTATCAAGCGAATTATCTTAGAAATCATATTAATAAGAACATAACTGAAGAGAGATGACCTAAAAAGTGCTAATCGCCGACTAGATAAATAAAAGAAAATAAGTATTGAAAAAGTTTTTAAAATGTGACACGAATAAATTCTGAAACAGTTTTCTCTAGGCCAGAATCAGCTTAGATTTATCAAGGTCATAACCTGAACCACTAGAAAATGAGTTACCAAGACTGAAAAAACTTGGACCCATACATCTGTAGCCATTACATATATTTATGAGGGAAGACTTCCAACAGTCCAATCTCTTTTCTCTTGAGATTATTGCCATTCGATCGGTCATCGTGACTAATAAGAAAAGTCTGTTTTTGTTTGGTTTTCCAGTCTTCTCTTGGTGAGTTTTGAGCAGTTTACTTGATTTTTACCCTATGAGCATAGAATTGCTGAGCACTTAGGTAAATGTAACCATATCGAGATATCAGCTTGTCATAGAAACGCCTTTCCTTTGCAAAAAAAAAAAACAGCTTAAATCAGGTGGTTATTCTAAACTATAAATATCTTAGTAAGGATATGTTCATTCAGGCTCAAATTTCGATCATTCAGCTTCTCAGAGAACCCATGCTCATAGAACAAAAATCAAGTAAACTGCTCATAACTCAACAAGTGAATACTGGAAAACCAAACTAAAACAGAATTTTTTCACTACTTATCATGGCTGATCGAATGACAAAGTCTTGAAGGAAAAACAATTGAATAGTTGGACAGATTTTCTTGTTAGAAACGAATACTTTCAAATTTCGATAAAGTATTATTTTTAAAGCCAAACTATTTTATCACTAGTAAGACTGAGATACGTTTTAAATCTTATTTAAAAAAAAAACAAAATAGACGTTTTCTCTGTAAACTTTCAACTAAGAAAGTATCCCTACTCATAATGTCCAGAAGAAAAATCTAGCATTCGATCTTTTTTCTAAAAAATCATCTGAATATATATCAAGATAATAATTATATGAATGTAAATTTCTCTTGCTAAACTTCAATGCTTATAAAAATCTAACATAACATTTCTAATCAATATCTTAATCATAAATTTCATATAAATGAATTAATGTTATTTTTTTCATTTTCACGTTAAAAAAAAGAAAACAAATCTAAATTAAAGATTTTCTTACTTCACTAAAAAATGATAATTTTTCATCTCCAGCCACTACAAGAATAACTTCATTTTCATTAGTCATGACATTTTTTGTACTAAAAATCATATATTCACTTAAATTAAATTATTTATATTCATACATTATTGTTTTCATAAATTTTGCAATAAGTGTTAATGGACGATTTTGTATCGATGATTCTACAAATGTTTCAAAATAGAAAACAATATAGAAAAAGATTTATGAATTCTATTACTTGTATTATTATCAACAATTTGAACACGATCAAAATAATAACTTGTACTATCATCACTGTTCTAATTTAAAACACAAAATTACAAAGTAAAATGAATAAAAAAAAATGAAGCACATACCGAAATTCCACTAGTTTTAGTATAGCCATAAATAATTGCTGGAGATGTATTATACTTTGATACAGGTAATATTTCCATACTTAATATTCGACAATCCGCTAATAGAAAAAAAAACAAATAGAACATTGAATAAATTGTTTTATATAAACAATTTACATTGAGAATCTTGTAAAGATATTGTATATGCTTTACATTCATTTGTTGCTTGAACATATTCAACAACTACACCAAGACCATCGAGACCAATAAGAAATATTTGTTGACTTCCTGTTGTCGGATTTCGATGTACATGTAAAGTATTTATATTAGGTTGACATTTAAGAGGTTGAAAAAAAATTTCTTTTAAAGAAAACATTATCTACAAAGAATAGATGAATAACATAAAGGCATCAAAAGTTTCCTAAATGAGATAATAATAGAATGAAGCAACAATCCATAAGATATGTTAATAAGTATGTGGATGTTGATATTGACCTTTGTTATTCCCACACCTACCATGTTAAGCAAACAATTTCAATTTATTTCTTCGTTAAAGGAAGATTTATAATAGATTTCAGATACAAAGTAAGATCTTTCACATTTAGGGCTAACATTTCCATTCAGCTTTGAAATTTACTAATCTGTTAAAAAATTATTTTTATTGTAGAATTGCTGAAAAAGTTGTCTTGAATAAATTAGATTCATTTTCTAGCATAAATTAATTCTTAAATTCGGAGTTATTTTTCTGTTCTGAAAAAATAGAAATGAATATTCGTTTTAAGAAAGTTTTCGTTTTTAAATATAAACACACTGATGGATTTAGAGGAAGGACATTGGGAACGATCGCCCCTTCCTTCCGAACTATTTCTCAATTGTTTTCGACAGAAAACTTACAAAAATAAGTTGATACGACCTATTATTTAAATTTAAAACACGCTTTGTGACTATGATCGCCCTCATTCACAGAAATTCTCGAACCACCACTGATATAAATTTTGAAATAGATGATCGTTTCTCTTTCTTTTTGACTTACTTCATAATTAAATTTCGATTTTTTGGTGATATAAATATCTTACTTCCAGATTTGATGACTAAACATTAAAAAAAAAAGAAAGAAAAGCGACAAATCCATTCATTTGATGGAAAGAAAGAATGGAATATGGGTAAAAGTCAAACGAACGAATCAAAATCTTTCATGTCCTATCGACATGTTTATATGATAAGTTGTGCATTTATGTTTTTTTTCTTTGATTGTCTTTTTTTTTCAAAAGAGTTATATTTCAGATTCAGAAACAACCTTTGTCAATTTCTAACAAAAAAAAACAATGTCATCAATTGGATCTGGTGTATGTTTGATATTTTTTAAATATTACATTGAAAAAAGAATTTTCTGTTGTTGTTTTTCTGCTTCGTTATTAGTATGATTTAAGTGCATCACAATTTTCACCAGACGGTCGTGTTTTTCAAGTCGAATATGCAAATAAAGCTGTTGAAGCAAGTGGAACAGTTGTAGCATTACGATGCAAAGATGGTGTTGCATTTGCTATTGAAAAAATAGTAACATCACGTCTTTATGAATCAGGTTCAAATAAACGTATTCATAATGTTGATAAACATATTGGAATGGTTAGTAAAGAAAAAGTCTTTTCATTTTCTTTTTCTTTTTTTATTATTTTTTTCTATGTAGGCTGTTGCCGGTCTTCTTGCTGATGCTCGACAACTTTTAACTGTTGCACGTGATGAAGCTAAACAATATAAATATGATTATGGAGTATCAATTCCAGTTAAAGTAAGTATAACACACACATATTATTTGTTTAGAAATGATTTCTTATGTTATTTTTTTTTTTCGTATTTAGTATTTGGCAGATCGTCTTGCGATGTATATGCATGCTTATACTTTATACGGTTTTGTTCGACCATTTGGTTGTTATATTCTCTTAGCTGCTTACGAAAGTGATGGTCCTCAATTATATGGTGTTGAACCATCCGGTGTTACTTATGTAAGAATATTTTAATTTCGATAGAGAAAAAATTTATGTTATATTCTAGGGCTATTATGGTATTGCAGTTGGTAAAGCACAACAAACGGCTAAGACTGAATTAGAAAAACTTAAAGTATGGAAAAATATAATCATGAATTTTTTTTTTTAGAAATAAATTTTTATCTTTCTTTTCAGTTATCTGAATTGAAATTGGAAGATGCTGTCAAAGAAGCAGCTAAAATGTAAATATAAAATATTATTTAATTAATTGATAGAAATCATTTGAAATCTTTTAGTATTTATCAAGTACATGATGAAGTAAAAGATCGAATGTTTGAATTAGAATTAAGTTGGGTAGGACAACGTAAGTAGAGTCAAATAAAAAAAACAATGATTTTTAATAATTATGTTGGATTGAAATATTTAGTTAATGATGGTAAACATGAAAGAGTACCAGCAAATATTTTTGAAGATGCTGAAAAATTTGCTAAGGTAAATAATATATTTAATTGATAAGAAAAATTTATGATTATTTATTTTTAGGCATCATTGGAAGAAGCAGATGACGATGATGACGAAATGTAGACAATTTATAAAATTCATTTCCTTTTCTTCTGTGCCCGTCTAACGTGTCGTTGATCTTTCGCTTTTTCTTCCTGTTGTTCTGTTTTCTTCTTCTTTTTTTATTATTATTATTCTGGACGACTAAATACGATCACAGATGGAAAATTCTTAGTAATTATGATGATTAAGAGTATCATTGGATATTCAATGAATAGAATCAGTTTCTTATGAAGGCTACCACTGAAAATGTTACTTCAAAACCAGAGATTGCATGCATAGGGATGTTCTTGTCGATATATTGATCTTTATGAAAGCATCATATAATCGAGTGCTAACTAATGTTAGACAAACTGGAAAAATATTTGAATCGAAAGTCATATATATCAACTACTAATAAAGAACAATTTTTATATAAAGAGAGCAATAGATTACCATCAAAAATATAATTTGATTTTAATATACATTATCGAAATGCTGGTATAAACGAATATATTGAAGTATTTAATAATTTAAATTTTGCACTGTCAATTTCTTCTTAACTAAGCTTAGAGCAAAAAACATTGAGAATGTTTCAATATAATTGACATACGTATATATTTGATCAAAAAAAAACGTTAACAACATTGCATATTACAAAAATATTTCCATTCAAATAAAATCAGTAAGAAAAATGATTGTGATTAATGGCATGCTATAGTGCATTGTAAGGACATTAGACAAAGAATAGTGCGTAATTCATGTTATACTAATATTTTTAGACACTTCCAGATAACTCATCTGATTTCTTGTCGAAAAGATTCTGATGCAGCAAGATATCAATAAAACAGAAAATAAAGGAGTATGTGAGTGTAGCCGTGACGATGAAATCTGCGCTCATATCTACTCCCACATCTCTGAAAGTCGAGGTATGACTTTATATCTCAAAAAACGTACCCTCATTACTTTTATCTTTTCTGGTTATTATGATTTTTTTTATGCTATTAGCATCCAATGCCTTCATTTTCTGAAAAAAGTGCGAAAAACAAATACAAGAATTAATAGTATGAATATCAAAACTAAGTGTTTGATGGATATCATCCAGATTACATCATACTGATCTTTGTATTATATTCATTACAATGGATGAATATAATAAAAAACTAATTCTAAATTGTATGTCTAGGGAAACGAAACGTCTCTTCGTGCACTTTTATAATTTTATTTCTTAATTAAATATTTGTGCTTTAGCTAGTGATGAACCATCAAATTATACTTGTCGACAACTGATTGAAATCAGTCATATGAATAATGACATATAAAAATTATTATGCGAAAATTGAATGAAAATCAATCAACTTTTTAAACAATATATAATAATAAATAGTTAGATTACTGTTAAAGATGTTGACTAAATATAAAAAAAGTTTGTGCCATATTGCCATAGCATATATTAGTAAACACTTTTCGTTCATTTTGTTTTAGTTGGTCATGATCAAATAACTTGTTCTTGTAATGTTAATTATTGTGCACCGTAATTAGATGACATGAACAAAATCATTTACTACAATGTTGTACATTTCTACAAAAGTTCGTTTTGAATTTTTGTATTAATGCTGCTTGTCTTTTGCAGAAAATTATTTTACCGAACGAATCAAAGACTAGTGGTAAATGAATAGGACAATAAGCTAAATCGAAAAATAAAGATCCAAAGTATCTTAGAAGATATAAAGTTTCACAAGAGAAGAATCAGAAAAATAATAATGACAAGAATGAAATTTTTCAGCATTCGCAAAATTTTTGAGTAAATAGAAAGTATATAGAATAATGACATGTGTGACTAGAACGTTTGTAACAGCAATAATTTCATCAAGAAATCCCAATAGTTAATATTTATCCTGAATACTTAACTTAAAAAATGTATAAAGTATTGTCAACATCTTAGAGACATATTTGAGAAGTTTCTATTTCCATTCATTAAAAACTAGCTTAAAACGATATTTACTTGACGAAATAACTAGAAAGTTTTGGAAAAATCTTATTTTTTTCAAATATAATGTTGAAAATTTACCAAGCTATTTTGATTCGATGACATTTGTAAACTTTTGCTTCCTTTCATAGTCGATCTCTATACTCGCTGGAAAGTTTGATATAGTGACAACATCAATAAGGTACGAATCAGCACTCATAAACATATTTGAAACTTGTTGTTTTTCTTGTTGTATTGAATTTTCATTTATTTGCCTGTTTTATATAAAATGTTAGAAATATTTCTTCTAGCAAGCATTAGAGCTCTTGTAGAAAATAAAAGATCATTTTGGAAGTATTATGAAGCTAGTACAAAGAATAAAAAAAAACATGAAGTTTGACTTTTGTTCAAAGAGAACTTTCAAGAACGGAACGAGAAATCGAAATACAATTTTGAACTTCAAAAATTTCGAATCATAGAAAAAAAAATGAATTACTACGCTTATTCTTTTACACTTTTCTCAACGATGATTATTGTTGAATAGATTGATAGATCGATCTTTGAATTCGAATGCATCGTATTTTATTTCTCAAGCAAAGACTAGTCAAACGAACGACGCATAACAACGGAACTGAACTCATTTAATATGATCATTATTATATGCTTCGTCCGTTCATTATTCAGTTCATGTCAATCATATTACTGCAACTAACGTTTTTTCTTTTTCATTCTTAACTATTTTATTTTTCTCTGATGTTAAATAATTAATCGATAGGGATATTTATCTACATATGAATAAACAAGATAATTAGCTGTGAATTTCTGTTAAAAAAACACAAAACAAATGAAAAAGCCTCTTCTTCAATCGTATATAAAATCATCGTCTTCGATGTATTTAATTATTATCTTCTCTCTCATCAATTGAATGAACTATTTCTATCTATAGTTGGATTACTGTTACCTTTGGAACAGAAAGAGTAATTTAAGTATACCTAGAAATAAATCATTTAATCGATGACCATTCCCTCCTTTTTTCTTTTCCTTCATAAAATGAATTTATATTAGCAATAGAACAGAAAGAATAATTCATTGCATGAATCATAGAATTTTCTTTTGCTTTTTCCATAATCCTCTCGAATTGCTTTATATTCGAAATGGAAACTGTTTTAATTGAAATACAAACTGAATTGTAAATTTCTTTTATTTATAATACATGTCCCTTAACAGTGGACACGGTTCCATTGTGTTTTTCATTAGATAGAGTTTCCCTGTACGCGCGTATTTCTCTTCAAACGAACACAAAATGAAAATACTCTTATCTCATCATTACATTTATTTCTTTGAACAAAACAAAAAAACTACAATTTCGTTTTTACATATTCGAGGCTCTTGCGTACAACAAGAAGATTAGGATGATTTTCAGGTATTGAACGTTGTAAAATATTCAGTGCATGCTCATAAAAGGAAAGGACATTCGAATAATCTCCCATGTTTCTATAAACACACCCAATGTTGTTGTAAGAAGTAGCCAAATCCGGATAATTTTAAGGAAGAGTTTTTGGGAGTTTTCGAGTTCTTTTGGGGTGTGGGTGTGGGTGGGTGAGTGTGGGTGGGTGTTTCTACTGCAGACTGGCCTACACACACCCACACCCATCCTTCGAGCTCAGGATAGGTCTCTTTGCACATCTGTTCACTTAGTGTTTGTAATTCTGCATCATTGTCAATGGTCAATGTTAAATCCACTTCCCAAAGACTATTATTTCCATCGATTTGTTTCATTGTTCCAATACAAATTCGCATTAACTGCCATCATGAATCTCTGCAAATGGCGTTGACACGATGGATGGGTCAATTTTTATGATGAATAAAATACTAATTGGACCAGAAGTTTCCATAGTTTCACGAGCAAAGTTGAGGGATACTTGACAATGCTTACTGGTCGATAGAAAATTATTAAATGATAAAAGTCTATCTTTGCTTTTGATCAATTGATCAAAGTCGGTCTTCGACAGCCCTTGATCACAATAAATAGTGAATGAATTCGAAGTTGATTGTCCAGCAAAATATTGCGCATGAAACTTAGCAATATGGTTGTGAAGATCGCGAATAAAAAATCCCATACTTATGATGAGATCGACCTTCATCATTCGTAATGATCGATTCAGAATCGAATAAAGAAATCATTCATTGATATACCACCAAATCGAGAGATGTTTGTGGTATTCTTGTTCGAATTTCTCGACATTTTGCAGTTCTTTTCGATTCGTGGCGAATAATTGACGATAACAACTAGTAAACTCATCGATGTGTTGTTGGTTGAAATCGATGATTAATAAAAATTTTTTCATTATTTGTGTGTACATGAACAATGAATCCAATTGATCGAGATTTTCATTGGTAGTTCCACTACTGGTTGTGACAAAACTGATTAATATCTGTAAAGACTCCTTTTATTTTTGGTCATTACTTGGTCCATTTTTCATGTCGAGTTTGATTTTCACAAAAAATATAACTTGTACTGACTTCAAGCATATCATGTATGATGGAAACTGTGGTTTGTTCCAATGCACCAGAAGCGATCATAAACAATTTATCTTCTTTGAGATCGCTAATAAATTTGATACAATCATCGAGATCTGTGAATATATTGACCTTGTTAACTAGTTCTTTTAACTTCGAGATTGCATGCTTGCAATATTTGTTGTTTTCTAGATCGATGTTGCTGTCGAGCCAGATGAGCAAAATAGTTCTGAACCATACGAGCATCATGAGATCGTCATAGCTTTATACTCATATGTTCAGATTGTGTGATAGCAGCATCAGTTGTTGTTGTTATCGACTTTTTTGTTTTTTTCATGGTGAGCATGGTTTTTTATCAGTGAAGAAAAGAATAAGAAAATGACTTGAATTTATATAGTATGTAGGAATCTTTTTCTAGATGTTTCTATTTGTATCTGGTTATTTTTGTCGTTCGAATTCTTTTTGTTTTTGTTTCACTTAAATATTTCACTTCTTTTCTTTTAATTCGTGGTTGTCTCTAGTGTCCCAAGATAACGAACAACTAAAACAAAGATTG